TCAGAAGTTTGCAAGGTGAAGTGATGAGGATAAGGTTGCGCAGTCTGTTACGCGGACTGCAGCAGGCGCAGCTCTCCGAGCTTAAGCGATACTATTACAGCGGGACAGATTCTTAGCGAGATGTTAAAAGAGTCCGGATACTCAACGCGAAACAACTCTCGTCGAGTTTATCGCTTCTGGAACTCCAGAACTCCCTGCGAACAAATTGATTGAACTTAATTAATGTTGTGTTTGATTAGATGTCTTGAAGCTCTTGGTCTTGTATTTATTGGTGAGCTTTCGGCAATAATGCCATCATCAGACCAACCTTAACATTACAATAACAGCAACTACAACACAAAGAACATCATGCATCGATACATACCAGAAACGTAAAGAAGAAGAGGGGCGGCCTATCGGGGTTGGCTTGAAAATGAAATTGAGACGCCACTCCAGAGGGAAAGGGGCTCGCTGATCAAGTCAAAAGCCTCAGAAGGTCACGTAGCTCTTCTTTAGCGTTTATTTCTGGCTTGATGCGGTATATCTCCCGCGCTTCCATGATTTTTCTCTCCAGGGGCCGTATCATATGTCTGTGAAGAACGCTCACGTCAAAAGATGGAGCGTTCTCATTCGTATGCCTTAACGTACGGTGCCTGGAGAAACTGCTGCGTGGGTAAGCGGCGGGATTATTCAGCGCCCTCCTATGTTCGTCCAGGCGTATCTTCAGGGTCTTGCAGTCTCTCCCACATACTTTTCTCCACATCCTCTACATCGGACTAAATAGACTGTGCCTTGGAGTTCGCAGATTTTCGGAAGTGCAGTATCGACAATACTGCTCGTGGCACCTATCCTCGTATACCCGCGATGATGTGAGCAGGTCTCTGAGTGTGGGAGGAGGTCGAAAAACAAGACGAATTGGAAGCTGGGCATCTTTCACAACACGATTCACCTCACGAGCCATTTTGTCGTTGACATACGGCATCTTGAGGGTTATTCCATCTAACGTTCTGTATGGTACCCAGGCTCCCAAATTTCCTTCTCGATACCCATTGCTTTCAAGGATGCTTTCAATTTTGGCATCCACGTCTGGGTCACTTCGCGTCCCGAGTTTCTCCTTCGTTTTCAGAAGATTTCGCACAACGTTCGCCTTCATATACGTTGGATGTGCGCTTCTAGAATGCAACAATATATTTGAAGAGGCACTTTTTCTATACCACAGGTGTTCTTTGTAGCCGTTACTTATTCGCACTTTCGTATTCAGGAACGGTAGAAAACCATCCCTTCCCGGATCTTCTCTTGTAAAGGCTATATTAGCATCGTGTGAGTTCAGTCTTTCTAGGGTTTCCACTAGATCTTCTTGCGTTGTTCCAATGAGAAACACGTCATCGATATATCGCTTGTAGAATAGAATTCCACTGGATAGTGATGACTTTTCGATGTGATCCAGAAATATGACTGCCAGAAACGGTAAATTAAAGTTGGCAAAATATGACAGATTTAAATAGTTTTTAGCGCGAACTTAGTTGTTGTGTTTGAGCGGAGATATGCACATTTGAATTAGATCGTCAGAAACGACACGAACTTTCCTTACAACCTAATACCGCCAAATAATCAGTTGCTGTTAGAAGCAATAGTCTCCACACGAAACATACTTATAAAATTATTTTTAAAAAAGCGTAGTCTAAGGTTGATCCATCCAACCATAACGTCTATCATAGATCTATCATAGATCCGTTGCAGCCGAGATCATTCAACCGATTCATGATATTGTTTCGAGTTATATTAGAAGAAATGCTTTCGATGCACCATCAGAGATTAAGGGGTAATGACTAGTGCCAACTGGTAGGTATGCCCTAAAGAAAGATTGTCGCGTAGGCGCGCAGTAGCATGCGGAATGAAAATGGTACTTATCATGACTTCGTAAACATTTAGCATTGATATCGAGCTCGGGCGATTTAGCGGTTTATAGAATTTCCACAATTGAAGAATCGGTGTGTAAGTGAAATATAACCAATCAATCAGCATCTAACCGAGCTATGATGGAAATTGGAAATATGATGGAAATTCGCTATTAGTCCAAGTCCAGATAGTTGAGCAGCCCAAATTTCTTAGCTTCTTTAGACAACTGTCTCTACTTTTATTAGTACAGTTGCCGCTCATACCACTTTCTGTCACCTACATTCAACCCTCGCCACCTTGATCGCTTGCCAGTGATAATTGCAACGAAGTTGGAGAGACCTGCATTCAAACGCTCTTATCATTCCTTGTCATTTGTTATCAGTTCATACTGTTCGCAATCGGTGTCCCGGTCCCAACCTCCAGGCAACGTGTAGGAGCTAATATTTACTGTCACCACGAAGGCTGCAACGAAATTAGCAGTACTCAAAATCCTAACTTCCTTATCAACCGTTATCGCTTGTTATCACTTCTGATCATCCGCTATCCGTGTTCCCGTCCCATCCCCTATACCACATGTGAGAGCCAAGGTTCCAATGTAACCGCAAGGGCCGCAACGAAACTGGTGGTATCCACACTTTGACGCCCCTTATCAGTTCTTATCAGTTGCTACCACATTCGTTCACTCAACTTCTTGGTCCCCGCCTCACCCCACATATCATACATGAGTGCAAACTCTCCACCGTCAACGCGAACGGCGTAACGAAATTGGTGACATCAACATTTCGTCCGTTATCAGCTCCTATCAGTAGTTATCACTTCCCGCCACCCATCATCAGTGTTCACGCCCGGCCCCTATATATCCTAGAAGTTTGAGCGCTCTGGGTCCAAAGGGAGGTGAAGTTATGAATTTCCGGTCAGACACACACACAACCGCTTAGCCGATTATATATAGTAGGATTCCTAGCCAAATCAAAGATTTGGCTCTCACATTGAAAAAGTGGGGGAAACCGTGGATAGCATAGCACGTTAATAGCTGATGCTTTCTCATCAAGGCAACGAGCATGAGCATAAGTTCCGTGGGCACGAAGATTCTGATCGTAGGAATTCCATGAACATGGACAATAGAGGGCCCCCATCATGACAGTAATCTTCATTTTACGCCGCCGACTAGGACCTTTTCCTGACATTGACCGCTGTCCAAGGCTACCGCATTCCAGCACATTTTCAAAGTGAAGATGGAAGTCCCAGTTTTCCTCGCAATGGGTTCTCTGACGTGGATAAAGCTCCTAAATACGATAATCGCACTAGTTCCCCTCCGAATCCCCAACGAGCGAATTATGAGCTAGTTGTTGAGTCATTTCTGAGCAGTGACTCCTCTAGGTGAGGAGGATGAGGGATTTTGATACCAAATGGTTATAAGGCTCTCGTCGACTACCATCCTAACTCTATTGAACATGGGTATAATTTCTTTGCAGACAACAGTATTAGCTAAGATAGGGTTTCCTGAACATGCGAAGGGGTTCGCAAACACATTGAGTATACTTCTAAAAATCGCAAAGAACCCTGCACATGAAAGACTCGAATCCTTGAGGTTGCCGCCACGGGACCGGCATAGTATCCTACAGTCTACGGGTCCACAGACAAACTCTGCAGGCGTACCGTCTCGAACATGGGTCTATTGCGTATCACAGCATGCTCTGCAGCTTTTTCAGAAAAAACTTTCAGCAGTACTGAATGCAGATATGAGGTGTGCTTTCAAGGGTATCTCAGACAATAATCACCTGAATTCAAATGACAACTGCGACCTACCATCCTTCCCTTGTGAGTGAACAATGCCTAGAGGATGGCGTAACAATGCCCTCTAACGGGAAACTTGATACGACCTTTTCTCCCTACGCTCCGTAATCGATCCTATTTGATTCGGTGGTGTGAAGACTGTCGATGAATCACGATAAGGATTTTCACGCTTTTATTTGATTTTACCGCAATTCTTCACTGTTCCATATAAAATAAATAAAATAAAGCATTTGCCGTTGATCAATCCCTTTTTGGGATGCGGCACGCATTCTACTTCCATTTGTACATTCGTAGTGGCGTTTGAATGCGATGTGGCCTATACAATGACTTGCGGGGCCAGCCGATGTACAAGTCAGTGTTTTTATCCTCCCAGACAAGTCTGGTACCAATTAACCGACCCCGGAGGGATGGAAGGCTTGGTTGGCCCGGGCGACTCACGACCCAGGATTTGATCCCCGGACCGCTCGCGTGGTAAGCGTGCCACTTGCCACTACACCACTTCCGCCTTCCATTGTATCCATATTCAATTACCTAAATACTTACTGAGAAATCCTTGAACGTAGTTTAGCCGAATGCAGCCGGGTGCAGTTGTCCTGTCCAAAACGGTACTTGGAGCCGGAAGCTGTGACAAAAGCTGCAGCAAACACAGCTGGAAATACCTTAGGCATTGCTCCCCTGCACCAATTTCGTTTTTGCTCTGTAGGCTTTCTCTTAACCGAGTTATGAATATTTTCATGAGCACCGCTTTTTTAGAGAACGCCCCGCCCACCGAGGGTGGGTCTCCTCAATTCGATCTGGCTTACCAACGCACACCTATGCCCACTTTTGTCCCGGTCTCGAGGCTGTTTTGTGACTGAATTTGAAATCAACCGATGCACGCCACGCCCACTGTGGGCGGGGCTCCGCTTGGCTGATGTGTGTTTTTTACTTCTAGGGATATGGTATACCCATCCCAAACTTGACCTGGACCCTGTAGGTTGTTGTTCGCTTAATACGGAATTTCGTGACAGACAGACAGACTTAGCGCATTATATATAGTAGGGATATTTGATAATTTATTTGAAGCACGATGTTCTGTAGCACTAACCAAGTTTTCTTCGCGATGGACTGGGCTACTGCGTTGCTGGCACTGCCGTTGCTTTCGATAGCACTGCGGGCCAACTCCACCAATAGCGGAACGAATGTGAACACTGCATAAAGTAGGTACCTCAATTCGCCTCTACCAAAACTCATCTTCTGAAATTGAGACGCGTTTCCATTAGTAGGATTTACACGACCTTGAATATCAAATGCCGAAGGTTACTGCTCTAACCAGAACAGCTCACCTTTTTTATCAGTCTTGCTTTTAGAATTACATAACCGAGAAGTACGTACAGACAGCTGCAAACCAGAACTGTAAAAGCACAGAGAACGATGGCAGTATTCGCAAGGATCTAAAGTGGTTTTAACATTTTTCTTATATAATAGGTACATGGAAGCATACATGTTGCAAATTATATACACACTTTGCTACCGCTATACACATAGTTGATGTCGAGCGTTCCTTCGACAGATATATAAAATGATCCGGTCGGATTGCCAACAAATACGCCAGATAGAGTAAGAGCGGTAGCCACCGCCCAATTAAATATGCAAACGATAACAGCCCTTTTCGTTGACCATATCTGAAAGGGCAGTCTAACTAAGAGTACAGTGGCCAATCTATAGAACTTCGCATTTCAGAGCTACGCTACTCTTTCAGAAAGCAACATAAGGTATGCCAACGCAGACCCTAGACAGTCTAAAAGGTGCTTACATTGACATATTGGTAGGTAAAATACTGCCCAAGACCCACCTGACGATATCTTGTTGGGAAAATAATAGCAGTAAACCGATTCACCGCCAGTGTGATGAACCCAAGAAATACACAACTTCTGAGTAGCAAAGTAAGGCAAACGATAGGCACAGCAAAATACGATGGTGGAAGCGTAGCGTAAAACGGGAGTAGTCGATATTTTCGTGCTCGTATAGCGATCTCGGTATGAAGAAACAGTCCAATCTCGGCAACAGACTAAAAACTACAATATTCGAAAATGATAGCTTGATAACTTGGAACTAGCCTTCAGTTTTCAAGCGGCTTACAGATAGTTAACGCAGTCTCTCATAGCCTTTCATTCAATCTCCGTTTCCTAGTTCATCTACTTCTCCTTCACTTTTACAATTTTAAAGCAGTTAGGGGAAGCTGGTGCAGCTGAACGTGGCCTTGTCTACCAGCAAGCAACGACACCGAATGCCGCCGAATCGAGCATCTCTCAAACTGTCGCACATTCCATTTTGGTGGAGCTGATAGGATTGAAACAGAATAAAATAAATCAGAGTGAATGGGCAAAAAATCGCAGTCCGCAGTTGTTTTCATGACCCTTGGTATATCTGGTCTCCCCAAGTTTGGTTTGAAAGCAGGTGGCTCGATAAAATGGATCGTGAAAAAGGTAGAATGTGCTCACTATGCGGAATGTGTTTGAGATGTGCCGTGTTAGTGAGAAATTATTAAGAAGTTACCCCGTCTGCTGACATCTAGCCTAGCAGGTTCAGCAAGGTTATAGTCAGAGCATTCATGCTGATAGCGTCGGCACCAATGAAGATCAGCAAGAGCGGGAGACCCGAGGGTCTAGTCTAGCAATCCGATGCCCCTAGTGTTTCCTGCGCTACTGCACCTCTTACCAGTTCTACGTTCTGCAAAACAGAGAAAAAATACATTGCTTCACCCGCTTTCAGGAAAACAACGCCAATACCTAATACAAGAAACGGTATCTCTATGAGATAAATTTTCTTGATAGAATTAATCGATATCACAAAACCTTCTTATAACACCTGAACTCACATTAAGCATGGCGACGTTAAGAAAGCATTTTTGTGTGGGTGAGATATGCCTTTTACGAACAATTACCACAATGCAGAATATCAAGTAGACGGGGAATGAGAACCAACTAAAAATCATCACCGGAATATCCCACACTGGCATCGACACTGCCATCTTCAAATAGAAAACCTCTGAATTTTGAACTTTAGTAAAAATACGCTCTAAAAGAAACACAACGAGCATCAATTTTTCTTTCGTTTCCAATTAGATTATGGAAATAACTTTTCAAAGTGTTGCTTCTACGGCATTTACTCAACAATTGAAATGCGTTGCTGGAAACGTCTACAAACGTTTCATACATGGAGGTAAGCATTGGATATAGCATTTACGCAACAGCACTTTTTTCTAAAAAGAAGCTGTCAAAGGAAACGACTCGAGAAAATTGATAATGAGACAGCGCAGAAGGCCTTGAGCGGAGGTCATTCTCAGAGTTGGAACACAAGCAGAGATACTAGATTTCAATTTGTTGAAGTCCGTCTAGGTTTTGTGAGTTTAGGTTGCAAGAGACCCAACCCCGGCTCGAACGCTGCGGTGGAGGTTGAGTGTGCGGTACGCATTCCCACGGAAGGTGGGTGAGGGTTCCTGGAAGAGAAGCCGGTTGTTGCCGCGAGTTTCTTAAAAAAGGTTGTTTTTTGTGGGGCGCACTTCAAGAAGATAAGCAAGTCATACAGTTGAATTTGCAGGCGATACCTACGCCATCAATCGCCATCGTCGTTTTAAATTACTATTTACACAATGCGACAAGCTGTAGATTATTTTTTGCTCGAATGTTTTCGTCAAGCCTTCACTTATGAGAGAACAAACGAAATTTCAATCCCGACGTTTGCTATTGATTTGACCCTTACCAACTGATCCTAATAGCGAGCGAATCGAAAAGGTTAAACGAGAACAACGAAAGAAGTAGTAGCTGCAGCGCAGGCAAGGTGCGAGGTACCTTTTGGCCCACAAGCCGCAGCCCATACGTGACCGCATGGTTGTCAAAGCCTTGAACATAGTGAAGAGGAGTTCACAAGTTTCACGAATAATCAATCATTAATCAGCAGTATCATCAATTACAGCATTTTTTATTATGGAATTTCGAACAAAAAAGCTAGCTGCGACAGAAATGACGCCGAAATGTCGCTGAGCAGCACAACATTGATATTGAGGAAAATTCAGGCCTTGGGCCTGACGTTGATGATATTATTTCTGCCAGAGACTATAGATGTGAAGGCAAGATGATTACTTGGTAAGAAACACCTTCCATTTCCTGCTTGCGATCAGTGTCGTTTGCGTCAGTCTTTAAATGAAGGTGGAAATAATATTCTAATGAGAGAGTTGACTGAGTCAGGCGCAATGCTTATTTCAAAACTAAGCTAGGAGTGTGAGTAAATTTACGGGCGGATCAGCTCAGACAATCGTACATCGTTTAAACAGCAGTTTTTTTGCGTGCCTGTCTTTTAGAGAGAGGGAACATCATTTATGTTCTCGCATCCGCGCCGTCCCGTTGAGCATTGCGAAGTTGGAGCTGCCTGGTACCTCTGTCTTTTAAACATTTTGAAGATTTTAGGGAGTGCTAGTAAAATCTATCTATTTATTTCATCTGCCAGTACCTCGCTCAGAACAATGAATAACTAGAAGATTCCTAATTGTAGTTCATGAGTTTAAACTTCTTCACATTCTTGCGCAGTCCTTTCTGCGCTAGCTCCCTCTGAGTACTTTAGACTTTGCCCTACCGTTTGACTCTGCTATCTACTGCCAGAGCGATGCTGCGAGGTTGAGATCATTTTGGGTGTCACTGCAATGTTTGATATAGCAGTTGTTGTTAAGAGCAACTGAAAAGGACTTACAAAGGTCTAATAATACGTGGAGATAAATTTTGAAATCCAAGTATCACCAGAAAAGGCTCAGCATATGATCCCACTCAAGCTACTGCCATCACCTCGACCACGATGTTTCTTCAGTATTTGATTCTACGAACAGATGACATACTACAAACCGACCCGAAACTTCTCTACTGCCGAGTGACATGGGAAGGTATATCTCAGGTCGAAACACTTGACCAAAACTTCGTCAGCATTACATATTATAGTGCAGGGATTCCAAGCCACTTCATATTCAACATTCTTAGTTGTATAATCATCAAGTTCACTTCGCAAATTGGACAGGCACTGCTATGAGGAACGCTATTGAGGAGAAGAAGCATGAAGCGACATAAAAACATTAAACTTTCCCTTATATGGTCGGTGGTGCGTTACAGTTCTACTTCTGAGGTCAGGTCGCCTAAAACTGAGGCGCTCATTTAATCGAAGCAAGCCGAAGACTAAGCCAAGGCTCAATCATAGGATTAAGCAAAGCCTCTATGTGAGCATTAGAGTGTGCTCATGTTTGAATGCAAGTTTAAACTTAGGTTTTAATGACCCGAGTACAGGAGCAGAGCTGAACTTTGCCCGGGACAAAGCGCTGCGAGAAGATAAGAGCGCTCGCAAGGCGAGTACAATCAAGCCTGTGATCAATACCTGCGAAGTGGATGAATCTTTTGAGGATTCAGTCGGGACCTGTGCCTATAGAAATACGAGAATCTCAAACATGTATTTCACCTAAATAACGAATTGTAACAAACGGGAGGTGCAGTAAATATAATATACTTCCAGCTTTTGAGCAAGTGTGAACTGAGAGTTATTTGTTCCCATAACTCTTACAGGAGCTGGAACACTAGGCTAGTGGCTCAACTAATGAGTCTGGGGACTGCGAAGGAAATTGTGCGGTGAACATAACAAGGGAGGATTTATCTGAGGCTACTGTAATGAACAAAACCCCAACACCTTATGCAAAACACGAAGCAGCTTATTAGGCCTTGGCAACATACTACTTATACTGTTACGTGTAGACCGTCGACCACATGACATGACTCGTTTTGCATCAGGCTACAGATGTCCTTGGCAACAAAAAATGAACAAAAATAGTCTCAATAGGAGCAATGACCCCTACACTATCGACAGTCGCACAACGAAAAATTGAAATTGCTATAAGCATTGATTTAGTTCACATTTACGGAAGGCTCTAGCTATCAAATAGTGCATGGTCGGCTCAGAGCTTTAGCAGAGAAGGCTTTCAGCTTTATGAAACCTAGATTAATTCGTAGAATCAACAATACTAGTCATGGATGAACCGAAGATGTCACATTAAAGGAATCCTTCACGGAAAAATCATGATTCTATTTCAGCCATAAATCACTGGCTTGAGACTCATTATCCACGATAAAATGAAAAGCAGAAATATTGCTTTTGTTTTGGTAAAAAATTCGAAAAATCGAAAGGGCTGCTACGCGTTCAAATGCCCACGGACGTCTTTCACCTGGCGACGGGGATGCTTCCACTTGGTTCTTGGAGTGCCTTCACTAGAAACTCTTTCTGGCCTTCTGCTTATTGCATTCACATCTTACACTTCTACTCCATCCTATTCTATCGATCGATTTGTCTCTACTCTCCGAAATCGCGCGCTTTAACCCGATTCTTTCATTGCGTCGCCTGATACGTAGCCGGCCAAAGGCCAACTTCTTTCCATGCCTCGCCTTTGGCTCCGCCCGAATTACCTTCGATTGTCCATAGAGTGTAGGTTTTTTTGT